TGCAAGCGCGGAGGAAGGTTCCTGCCCGGCAGGGCGTTGCCATGGGAGGAAGTGCTCGCCGACATGAACAAGGGGGTGCTGGAGGCGTACCTGCTGGCAAACCTTCATATTCTACGGCTTCTCAAAGAGAACAAGGAGATACCGAAGCTCGACGGCGGGTTCTTTCGAAGTTGCTTGTCGGCAGTGATGAAACTGCTTCGCTACTCCAAAGTCAAGGGAGAACTTGGAGAGTCTCTAAAGATCTACAACTCGAGTCGATGTGCACGCTCCCCTCAAGCAAATGGCGGGTACATCAATCAAGGAAGGAGTCACAACGCCGGATACCAAATGGCCACGATGACGAAGAACGCGCTGAGCATGAACTTCTACCGACGTTTTCACAAGTTTCTCAAGCGCACGTACACGATTGATGGAAAGAAAGCGTACACGCTTCTCAAAGGAATCCTCAGTCACGAGGAGTACGTTCGAACGGGTACTCGGTTTGACGAGATTGTACTGGAGTGGAGAGCGAAGGTTCCTCGCAAACCGAACGGATATCTTGCCGACGAAGCCCACCAACTCATTCCGCTCACGTACCTGCTTCTGCAAGACATCGAGGACCGGAACACGCACGGCAAAGACGCCATTGATGAGGGCGAGTTGTTTCAAGAGATCAGAGTGTTCTCCATCCTTCCGACCAAGAAGGGCTTCGAGTGCTCTCATATGAAGATGTGTCAGCTGGGACTGTGGGGACTTCTTAAACGAGCTGGCTTTGCCGCTCCAAAACCTGGAAAAGGGTGGGAGGATGTACAACATGACTACTTGCACAAGCTTTTCAATATCAAGAAGTTTGAAACTGAAACCCGTAAGTTCGCTGGGGAAATCGTGACGGATGGCAAAGCAGTCTCAATCATGATGCGCAAGCCGAAGAAGGAAGCGGGACCAGCCAGGACGTACACGGAGAAGGACATTGATGTGGTGTGGGGACTCGATCCGGGACGACGTGATATGTTTGTCGCGACCAACCAGTTCGAGGAAAGCGTCTCTTGCTCTTCGAAGGAGTTCTACGAGGAAGCTCGGTACACCAAGGCAAAGCAGAAGATCAAGGGGTGGCAAGACCGACACCCAAAAGTACTCGAGGCGATACGCAACATGCCCACGAAGAAGACTGCCTCACTCCAGAAACTGAAGGTGTACATCGCGTTCATGACGCAGCACATGGACCTGCTTCTCGGGTTCTCTCAGCTCAAGCCTTTCCGGCGTCTCCGCTTCCGGAGCTTTCTGTTCATGAAGAAGAAGCTTCGGCAACTTTGTGAAAGACTGGCTCCGAGAGGCAAGCGCGTGGTCGTCGGATTCGGAGACTGGAGCAATCAGGACGTCGCGGGGATCATCAAGAAGAGCCCTGCTGGTCCAGTGAAGGTATTCGAACGAGAGCTCGCGCGCTACTGCACTGTGATACCCATCGCCGAGTTTCGCACGAGCAAAGTCCATTTCGAGTGCCAGCGCCGGCTCAAGAACCAGTACTCGCAACGACTGTGCCGGGATGGCGAAATACGAACTCAAAAGGTTCACAGTGTACTCCATTGCTTGAACAATGGCTGCCGTGGTATGACTGTGAACCGAAACGTGAACGCCTCCCGGAACATGCGCCGACTGCTTGAATGCAAGCTACGTAGACCGTCCCTTGGCCTACACTCGTCAGGCAAGAGCGTGATCACAAAAAAAAAGTGCTTCTGAGTGCCTGCGGGTGGCCTAGGAGCAGCTGATTGCTTGAAAGAGCTTCTCAAGCATTCATATTTTGCTGGACAAAATATGTGTCTGCAATTGAGACAAAATTTTATGTTAAGAATATTTTTGTCATTCAGACAATTAGGTGTAATCCTAACCTAGGACACATGGAGAGGAGAAATGTTGACAGCCATTCGTCACTAACTAAAAAACCAAGAGCTCACAACAGACGAGACACCATCAGCCTCACTGCCTTCGTCCCTACGAACACCAAAAGGACACGCAGCACGGCTGAGAGTGCCTTCAAGCGGATGCTGCAAGTTGAGGGTGTCAGCATGGATTTTGTTCAGGCTAGTATTGCCATGGACCCTTCTGATAAACGGCCTGCCGTCACGATGGATCGATTCGGCTACTATCTGGCAACTCACGAAGGTAAGAAAGATAAGTTAGCTCGTAACACAGCGATTTCATACTACAGAAACGTTAAACTGTGGTTATTCAACAAGTATCCTCACTTGCGAGTGGCTACAGAGTTGATCTTGTTAAAACAAGGGAAAACGCTAGAAAAACACTGTTTAAAGCGTGAAAATGGAGGCCTCACGAATAAGGCCCCACCCTGTACTAAAGATGATTTAAGTTGTTTAATACGTTACGTGTATAGTACTGCACGTGTCAGTTCGGACTACCAAGACGCCACCCTGGCCTGCATGATGTGGCACTGCTTTGGGAAATCTTCCGACCTGGCCTACGTGATGAAACAACACGTGTCAGTTTCAGCTGACGGGGTATTTTACCTGGGGTTGCTGCGGGTGAAGACTGCCGAGGAGCAGGGACTGACGCTCGTTCCGGATAAGAGCGACTTCTTGACCTGCCCTCTCTTCTCTCTGGCGGTGGCGCTGACGATGCAGGAAGCACCTTGCGCGTCGCGGCTCGGCCAGCTTCCGGAGATAACTCCAAGAGTCGAAGACCCTCTTAAATGCGGGCAAGAATACAACCTCAGTGAGGTTTTATTCTCGACCAATGTAATAGTCATTAAGCTGCCTCAAATAGAAGCCCCTCGACCATATTCCGGCGCTCATTAATGAATTTGCGGGTTCGAGGGACACTGCTCCGAGCTCAATATGCTGCAAAACACAAAAAGTCGATTTTCTCGGCCCCGAGGCCTCTATAGCCGATTTCCTTGCGGCTGTAAGCACCGCATGAAAGCTGACTGGGCTCGTTCAACCAATGGTTGACTCGTACTTAACTGAACAGTTCATATATATGCTCTATTATGTTTGATAATTTTCGCTTCGTCTATCTCCTCTTTCCCTATTGTCGGAAAATGTTGGGAAGTCGGAACCGTTATTATATGGATGAAAATGGTCCAGTTGCAGACATACTTTTTATCTTGAAAAGAGTATGGAGACAAAAGCCAAAATAGCCCATTTAAATTGAATATTGTCCAATCAAACCATCGTGTAGAATTCTCTAGCCAATCAGTAAGTAAAGGTTAGGTTAAACAATTGCCGACGCCAGGCCGACGTATTTTGTCGGCAAGATTGGTGAGATATGCCAAGAAGGCATACAAACCAGTCGTATGACGCGTGTCATTTTCATATCTGCATCCCCATCGACAAAAGGCTGAGCTTAACAATGAGCCTGCAAGACCTCCCCCCTGGCAACTCACAAAGGGCGAAGAAGACGCGTTCGAGCGCTTCTTGTTGTCTGAAGATGTCAATATGGGCCTCATCGCTTCATGCCTTCTCGGAGACGAGGACGGGTCTACGTTTGTGAAGCTGACGGATCGGTTCGCCGTTTATCTAGCTTTCGTGGACGGGAGGGCAGGGAAACCGCTCGCCTGAAGCTCGGTAATGGGCTATCATCGGCATGTGAAAAAGTGACTGCTCGATAGCTATCCCAAGCACCGTTCTGCTATCGACAAGCTGCTGCTCAAAATGGCTCAGACATTGGAGCGCTATTGCCTGAAGCGAAGCGAGGGAGGGGTAGTCAAGAAGACACCTGCCTGCACCAAGGCAGACCTACGCATCTTGATGAATGGACCCTACTACAATGCCGCAAGTTC